TGTCGTGGTGTTCGCTTTTGTAAATCGTGTCCTGTGAGGCGAGGGTTACCCGTTCAGAGCGTGTTTGGGCTCTTACCGGACATTTACAGTGTGATTTGGGGGTTCCGTGAAGAGGTTAGGGGGCCCCGTGGGGGTCGGAGGGGGGTAGGGGTTCCGTGGATCATTATGACCAAAAAGTCGCATTTTGTCCAAACACAAAAAACTCATCGGATATCGACGCAGCTCGACGCCGCCGTCACGGCCAAAGCAGTTTCACCTTCCAAATCGTTTTTGTTCGAAAGTTATCGCTAAAAAACAAAATGGACAAATTGTCCTGGACTGACCATACCAAACACAGGATTGAGGAGGTAGGAGGGTCGTTTGAAGAAATTTTAATATGTGTGTAGTAGTGCCGTGACAGGAGCTGTCGGGAATGTTGAGGTGCTCTGAACGTCAGAGAGAAAGGGGAGGAAGTAGTGAGAAACAACTCGTTGCAACTTTCGTGCGTGCAACACACGGACGCGGCAATCCATCTCCGAAATCTCCGAGTACTGTAATTGTTGTACAGACAGGGTTGAGCACCTTTTCTCCTTGGAAACTGTCACGGCTTCGCGCATTGATTGAGAAATTAGGGTCAACAATGGTTGCCATCAGCAGGGCATAGACTATAGATTACACACCCGGTCGCCCCGGTGGTCTAGTGGGTAGCCTCGCAGCCTGCCAAGGGCCAGGTCATGGGTTCGAGTCCCGATAGAGAGAATTTTTTTCTCACTAAATAAATTCTGGTCTCGGATGAAAGCGATGCGCTGCAAAGCTCGTTTGTTAGTAAACCATAATCGACTTCGTAAGTCGCGAGGGAAGGGATTGCTGTACCCTTCTCGCGATAAAAATACCTCAGGCATGAACCGCAGGAGGGGGTCCAACCCCCCCCTCCTATGTGACCCCGGTTGGGTCGTCTAGCTAGTAGAAGTGGAGGATAGGGGCCAGAGGGGCAGACGACAGAGTCCAATGATGGGAGAAAAACAAAACAACAACAACCATAGATAGGCAGCTGCTCAATCTCAAGAATTATGAAATGCGTACGGTTCTCGTTTAGGGGGACTGTCGGAGTCACGGACACGAGGAAAGAAATTGTTTTTCCTCCGCGCTGACAGGTGTGTTTGCCCGCACGTACCTCCCCGCACCTTGCCTATTTAGCAGTCACATAACACAGCGTCCAGCATCTTCTTCTCCACAGTCGGGCGAAGAGACGAACAACAGTGGGGTTCCCCTGTAGGGTGAAAACTTCCGGTAAGCGGCCGTTTTTCCGGTAGCGGTGTGTTTTTCCGGTTAAGGTGATTACGCCGCACTTCTAACCGGAAAAAGGGGACCGGAAGTTTTTCGTTGAGACCCATGTTTATTGTGGTCACCAAATCTTTGAAAAAAATCTTCAAATGTTTCCAAACATTTGCGGGCGAATATTTGCCAGAGGAAGATTACGCTGCGGGCGACATCGACCCGTGGCGCACGGACAAACATTTTTTCTATCTGTGTTGTCAATTTTTTTCGTTTTTTTTCTGACTTTCCGCGTTGGTTTTGTGTGATGACATCGTCACCGGTTTTGTAGAGAGACCCGTCAGAGATGGCGTGGCTAACCCGGGTGCCTTGGTTATGTGCCTGATCGTGGAAGACCCCTTCAATGTGGAACGATTCTTAGCTAGTGTCGATATTTTTCACTGCAGTGCCTACACAGACGATCGGGAGAGATTCGAGTCATTGTCAGTTAATTGCTGCTATGATGGCTTTGGTTGGTTGTTCTTTTTCACTGTACGGCCGCAGACAGAGTCAAGCAGTGGCCCACGTCGTTCCGCTCGACGACATCCCGTCTCTATTCGAGGTTGAGGAGGCGGTCCGGGGAATGGCCAACAGAAAGGCCGTCGGGCCGGACGACCTACCGGCTGAGCTGATCAAGCTTTTCCTGGACGGAGATCAAGGTCTCCTCCGCGAGTTCCACGCCATTGTCGTGGACGTGTGGCAGACTGGGGACGTACCACAGCAGTGGAAGGATGCCACCATCAAAGTGCTGTTCAAGAAGGGGGACACGATGGAGTGCGGCAACTACCGGGGCATCTCTCTCGTCGCACACGCCGGCCAGGTGATGCTTAAGGTCGTCGCTACACGACTGAGCCACTACTGCGAGCGAGAGGGCATCCTCCCGGAGGAGCAGAGCGGTTTCCGCCCACACCGGTCGACGCTCGACATGCTGTTCGCCATCCAGCGGCTCCATGAGCTCGCGAGGAAGAAGAGTACTGCGGTGTTCGCGTGCTTCGTCGACCTCACCAAGGCATACGATTCGGTAGACCGAGACCTATTGTGGGACGTGCTCCGACGCTTCGGCGTGCCCCCGAAGATGCTGGCGGTCATTCGCCACTTCCACGAGGGCATGAGGGCGCGCGTCCGAACGGACGACGGGCAGTACTCGGAATGGTTCGACGTGGGCCAAGGCCTCCGACAGGGATGCAACCTGGCCCCGCTGCTGTTCAACTTGTTCTTTGCCGCGATGCTCATGGTCGCCGTGGCCGAGTTCGACAAGGACCCCAAGGTGACGGCGGACATGGTCAAGATCGGGACACAAGTGGAGTACACGGGCAAGAAGGGCAGGTCGGCGGGGAGGAAGACGACGGTGGTGACGGACGCGGAGGCCTTGTGGGCCATGCTCTACGCTGACGACGCGGCCATCGTCTCGCGCTCGCCGGAGAGTCTCGAGAAGATGATGTCGGTCATCGTGCGCGTGGCCGGCCTGTTCGGACTGATGGTGTCGGAGCCAAAGACAGAGATCATGTGCATGCTGCCAAAAGGGATCGAGGAACACCCGTTCACGGTCAGCGCCGCCGGCCAGACGTACAAGCAGACAGATCGGTTTGTGTACCTCGGACGTACCATCTCCGCGGACGGGAAGGCCGACCGGGAGATCACGAGCCGCAGCTGCCGAGCGTGGAAGTGCTACCGCCGGAACAGTGCTTCGATGTACGACAGGCGACGGGCCGACCGCCAGCTCAAGATCCGGCTTCTCCAGGCTGAAGTGGTGGAGACTCTCCTGTATGGGTGCGCCTCGTGGAGCCTAACAGCGGAGCACTACACGAAGCTCAATGGGACCCACCGCCAGTTCCTTACACGGTGCATCGGCTGGAGCAAGCGGAAACGCTCAGACCGCCCCCTGTCCTATGCCCAGGCCCTCATCCTGTCTCTTATACACATCTAGATGTGTATAAGAGACAGAGTGAGTCCCTCGCGGGCGAACCAGGACACAACAGATAGTAGGCGGGTGGTGTCCCAAGGTGCAACTCACCGCCGCGCTGGCTCAGCGTGGCGGTGAGGATGCCAAGACGGTGGTAGTGGCGAGAGGTGTGTATGGACACTGTTCCCGCGGCAGTAATGCAAAGCGGCAAACTGCACCTGGCAACCACCGTCGCGGAAAGCGTGGCCCACGAAGCTGGAGGAGTAGAGAGATTCGTAAACACCACGTCAGTAAGCACCGCTCGCGGGGGAAGGGAGACAACCGCGGGCACCGCGGGGAGGGAGTGCTGCACCCTCCTCGTCAAAACACCACAGGCAAGAACCGAGCTCTGCAGAGATGGATTGATGCGAGGAAACTCGCCGCTCGGAAGAGACGGAAGAAAGCACACCCGCAACGCGAGGTGGACCGAGAGAGACACGAGACCGCAGCGGCCGTCAAGGCAGCTGCGAAGAAGAAGGCACGAGAGGGCGACCTATCGTTCGGCACGTTCAACGTACGCACGCTCGCCTACAGCGGTAGGAACCCCATCGGTCACAACGTGATGACGGTCATGCAGATTTGTTCCGCGACCGGCTGTGATGTGATAGGACTTCAGGAGACCCGACGAGAGGGGCAAGGTTCAATTGCACACGACGGGTACGTGATCATCTGGAGTGGCGCCCGTGCTGGCACCAAGGACAAGAGGGGCGTACACGGTTTGGGCATAGCGATCAAGGAGGCCATGTGGGAGAGTGTGGGCGAGGAACGTAGGACGGTGGAGTGCATTAGCCCGAGGCTGATGAAGGTTCGTCTACAAATTGGCCGCACCTGCGGAGTAACTTTCGTGGTGGGGTACGCCCCCACGGAAACTGTCCGCACCACCGCGGGCGGTGATGTTAACGCCAAGGACTCCTTCTGGACTGCTCTCGACGCAGCGATCCGGGAGGTTCACAGCCGTGACCATCTCGTGGTGCTAATGGACGCCAACGCACGCACTGGTAGGAGGCGAGACGGGTGCTGCGATGCCAAGATTATGGGCGCGTACGGACGCGACATTATGAACAACAACGGTAAACGACTCCTTGGACTGGCGTCAGACAACCAACTCTCCCTGACCAACACCTACTTCCGGACACCGAAAGGTGGAGTGCAGCACACATTCCAGAGCTCCAACAAGGGAAAGGAGAAGTACCGCCTCGACTTCATCCTCATGCGTCAGGCGGACCGGCGTTTCGTGCGCAATGTCTCCGTCAAACGTGTCGACTCCAATGACTCTGACCACAACCGCGTGCTTACGACTGTCCGCCTCCTCCCCCGTGTCGCACCCAACCGACGAGTGCGGGGGAACAGCGGAAGCAGCCGGATCCGTATCGACCTCGAGCGGTTTGTCTTTCTTTTGCGTTCTTGGTTGAAATTTCGGGCTGTTGGGGCCGAAGGGTCGGATTGACCTTCGGAAGAGCCGGCGGGTAGCTCCGTCACAAAAGGGTTAAGAGGGCGAAAAAGAATTTCAAATTGTTCAAGCAGAAAAGGGCGCTGCTCTCGCTGTGCGAAAAGCGCGAGCTGCGCCCGCGGTCGCGGTCGCCTTTAACTTTGAAGGAAGCGTTTAGGTTGTTGGTGAGATTCCTAGGAAAATAAGCTGCCCGAAACGCGCAAGCGTGGACGGAGGTGTGTGTCGTGGTGTTTGTGTTTTTGTATTTGTGGTGTTCACTTTAATTATAATCATTTTTGTGTGTTTGTGTCGTGGTGTTCGCTTATGTAAATCGTGTCCTGTGAGGCGAGGGTTACCCGTTCAGAGCGTGTTTGGGCTCTGACCGGACATTTACAGTGTGATTTGGGGGTTCCGTGAAGAGGTTAGGGGGCCCCGTGGGGGGTCGGAGGGGGGGTAGGGGTTCCGTGGATCATTATGACCAAAAAGTCGCATTTTGTCCAAACACAAAAAACTCATCGGATATCGACGCAGCTCGACGCCGCCGTCACGGCCAAAGCAGTTTCACCTTCCAAATCGTTTTTGTTCGAAAGTTATCGCTAAAAAACACAATGGACAAATTGTCCTGGACTGACCATAGATTTCTTCAAAGGTACAGCTCGGGCACAGACAGGTAGGTGCACCTACCCATGCCTGAAGGAGGACTAATAGGAATCACAAGCAATGTTCTCATTCGAGAATCGGCTTTTTTTGTGGAAGGGCAAGCACTGACTGGTGTTCTCCAAGGTCTGTGCAAGCATCGACAGGATACACAGCAGCCCCGGCTTGCCCAGCTACGGACAGGATTGGCTCTGATTGACTCGCTCAAGAAGCTAGAAGAAAGAGGAGATCATCACCAAAGACAAGCTTCAAAAATCTGTTGTTAGACAGTCATGGGCTGATTATTAGGGGAAGTTCGCCACGGATTATAGTGTTATGAGTCGATGGGTGCGGCCCAGTGCGCCACGGATTAGTCTGTAGTGTTTTTCCCGAATGTTGACGACGAAAGAAGAGCCTTACTTAGTTCGCCTGAAAGCTTTTCACACTGACAGGATTTGGAGACGGTTTATCTTCGAGCTAATTTAGCTCGTTTTCTGTCGATGCGTACTCGCGATGTGTTCAAACGTCATGGCCTACTGATCGACCAACTTCCACCAGGGCCAATCGGTTGGGATCTCTGCGACAACGATAGTATAATGAGGGTAGACTTATTATCCTTTTAGGACTGACGGAGACGAAGGAAAGGGAAAGGGGAAAAAGGAGGACGAATACCGCGATGGAGGAGGAAGAAAACATGGAGGGGTGGAAGAGAGCAAAGGGTTTGAGCCCGATGACCTTCCCCAAAACAAAAAACGAAGGGCTAGGGAAGAACTGCCCAGAGGTTGTTGTCAAAATGAGGACCAGAATAAATAATGGTGGCGAAAACAAGGAGGATAATGGTGAAAGTACTCCTAAACGAACTAGAGTACAAGGTACTAGCCTTGGTAGATGTTTCACACGTGGGTTGCAAAGATAGAACGCTTCGTCGAACGCCAATATGGACCCCTCTACTCTGGGTGAGCGGAGAGTCCGGGGTTGTGGTGGCTATGTCCTGCCACCGGAGGTTGGCTATATTCCTTTGGTGCAATGTGGCGAGGAAGGCCAAGCGTGACCGAGCGAACTCAGTCAAGCTAGGGTGGTGCGGAGAGTGGGCGAGCCTTCGTGGACCCATTTCCCCATTCTTCTGAAGATTCATCAACTCTTCGCAGCCGTTGGGAATCGCACGAGTTGTGGACCCTCGGAGAACGGTAACCTATCTTCACAAATTCCCTCAGATCGTACTCTCTATGTACGTGTATGTGGGCTCCCTGAATCTCCACATCCTGACCTCTACACTCAGCGCGTTTGTTTTGCTGTGCGCCTACATTCATATTTAGTTAGCGGGGCCGACACAGCCAGGGTTAGAACTTAGAAGTGCAGTGATCGCTCATCACACGACCACTACGTGCAAACATAATATTGCCAGGGGTGGTGATGATGATGATGCCGCAGAGGAGATCAACCCAAGAATGTTAATTTGTAGCGCATTAACTTGTGAATCACAGCACGGCGCGTGGAATCGCTCGGCATATCTCACCACACGGCCATCCATTAGTTAGCTAGCCCATCATCCTGGCTGTCATCAGGAAAAACAGGAGGTGCTTGATGGCGGCCTTCAAACTCGTCTCGTTTTAAATTTAATAAGCCAATACAACGGAGCGACCTGCCACATGCCCCAGAAGAGGAGCGTAGAAATGTAGAAGAACGCACGAAATGCGCCAAGACAAAACAGGCCGAGAGACCAACCGCAAAAGGAAAAAAAAAAGAAGACGACAGCCAGCAGCAACAACAACAATAACACACGAAAGCACCCTGTGTGCTACAAACGATGAAGAGAGAAGTCATGACAAGCATGGAAGAAGAGAAAAAGGACTAACCAACGCGCACTCGCTACAACATCAGTCCCATCCGATGCACCTCAATGAGGGAAAAAAAGAAAATGAACTGCTGCCTGTTGTACGACGAAAAGGGGGGCCGCTAATACTACTACGTTATCCCCTAGACAACAAATAGCATCACGTGGATCAAAATCATCAATCCAACGACCACGTGTGATCAACCGCAAAGATTTCTGCCTTGTCAACTCGCCAGATCATGCATACTCCGTCGCCCCGTGACCATTGACTGAAGCACACCTGATCTATACGCGTCCGCACGTTGACCCCACCCGTTCCGGCAGAACAAAGCGATCGAGGAATGACAGCAACAGCAGCAGCAACCACGACTCCGAAGCTAGCACCCTAGCTGCCGGGGGGTGCTACATTGATGCGTCGATCTACATGATCTACAATCGTTCCCCTTAAACTCCCCCCTCCGGCCTGACCGACCCAAGGCCGTCAAAATGTTTCTCTTGCAGCAACCTCTCACAACGGTATCAACGGGGGGCGGGGGTAGCCCCGGACCACTTGCAATCACGTATGTGTACTTCTGAAGAAGAGACGCGACAGACAAGAAAGGGAGGAGGCTAAACAAAAAGGGCATGCGGATAGACGTGAGGCCTTGCCAGCCCAACGCTACGATCAACACATACATCCCGACGGGTGGGGACGGGGGACGGGGGGGCGGGGGCGGGGACGGCAGGCGTGCCGAAAAGAAGTCATGTGAGTGCTGTCATCGCCCCCACCCACCCCCATCCCCTCCCCGCCTCTTCAAAACGACATCCAATCGCGAAAAAAAACATGACAAAGAGTGTCACAAGAACCTCCTTGCCTCCCCCTGCCCTTCTCCCGGGACCCTTGTCTACTCGTTGACCTATTTGTAACTGCCATCCCCCAAGCTGGCCGCAGGATTCGCGATTCATCACCGATCATCACTCGCACCCTCCGACGGCATGAAAGAAGAAAGAAATACTGAAATACAAGGTTTGGGGCTGGGCGCCCGCCGGTCGGGGAAAAGTCAGAGCTGTCCGTGTGTTGCGCCCCCCTCTCCTCATCGCCCCCACAGGTTGTTGCTGAAACCACGAAAACAAAAATGTAAAAAGAAAACAAGTGTACGCGACTTGATGCAACCTAACGTGCAGCACGCACAACGGGTTGTTACACATTTTCCCACCTCGTGTGTCCCAATAAACCTTGCCGCTCTCCTGTACTTGTCGCCCTTGACCCCCACGTTTTGGGTCCAAAGATAAGCGTGCATACATGCGTGGCGGTTTCTCTTGCTACCCAGTTCTCATACCCGATTTCCCTCACATCGCTAGGCTGGCGACGGGGCAGAGCAGTGTATGCCACGATCTTCATCATCAGGATCGAACAACTGCAAATCTCCATTTAGCTTGCGTGTATTTTTAAAAAAAGAGAAAAGGCCGGCAACAAAAAAAGACATCTGCATTTAGATTGCGTGTGTTTTTAAAAAAAGAGAAAAAGCCGGCAACAAAAAAAGATATCTGTCGGCCCGCTCTACTGCTACATGGCAACACACAACACACACGCCAGAGAAGTTTCACACACGTGCATGCCTCATATCCGAACCCCGCCCCCTCCCCCATCCGTGGTCCCGCTGCCGCGGCCGCGGCCGCGGCCGCCGCCGCCGCCGCCGCCGCCGCTACGCTGTTCTCCGTGGTCAACTTCTGTGTAGACCCCAGTGGGGTCACTGAGAGGCAAGGCAAGACACCCGGCACCTTCGCCCAAGCACCCGCGAAAGACACCGCCGCCGCCCCGTATCGTGCCAACACACCAACACACAAAAATCGATACGGAACGCGAGGGCGCCGCCCACCGGCAGCAGCAACAACACCAGCCAGCCAGCCAGCCAGCCAGCCAGCCAGCCAGCCAGCCAGCCAGCCAGCCAGCCAGCCGCCGTTCATTGCACAGTATTTTTTGCAAGCGTGCCTCCGTGTAGTCAGCCAGTCTAAGCAGGCCGGCTTTTCCCTGTCGATGGGCTCTCTCTCTCTCCAACCACCTGCCACGCCAACTACGTCTGGTTGGAGTCTCGGGCCCATGCACGAATTGGGATCCAGCAAACAAGACCGACAGAGGAGGGAGGGGACCAACCCGTAACAAGAAACAAGGAGCAAACAACGCCCGCGCATGTCGAATGTGAAGCGCTCGACACAAACAAGGTCGGTGGCGTGGGCTTTGGCCGTACCGTAACAGCGAGTCCCACACACAAGCAGCGAGCAACGTCTTTCTCATACACCGGGGGCTCCATCGAAAGCTGCCAGAGCGGTGACTCAAAAGCTACCATCAAGCTACCCGCTGCTACCCACCCACCCCCCTCCTCAAAAATGAACATGTCTAATCATAGCTGCAAATCCTCCCTTCTATGCCAGCACGCGGTGTACCTTGGCCTATCGGTTGCCGGCTGGCTATGAATTCACACCCCAGCCCAACCCACGACTCCCTCCTCCACGGGGACCCCGCCTTACCACCCTCGGACTTGGACCGACTCTCCTCCAACCGCCACTACACCCTACCCTTTCCCCTATCTCCTACAAGAAAATAAAAAAAAAGAACTAGAAAATGCGCAGGGGTGTGTGATGCCGCCCTAGCTTGGACGAACATAACAACCCGCCATCGCACGGAGGGCTGGCTCATGACTGACGATACCATAAAAAATCACCGCGCGCCGAGCCCGCGCCCGCCGCCCTAATCCCCCCCCCCTCCGTCCATCCACAGACCCCCTCCGTAATCCACACGATAAACACACACACACGACGACAAGACCTGTTACGCCCAGATCTTGAGAAGCGTGTCCCACGAGCCGGTGCAGAGCGCCTCCCCCTTGGGGTTGACTCCCAAGCACGAGACGCGGTTCTGCGCGGGCAGGTCGGGTTGGGGGGGGGGCAACCACATGCGATAACCAACAACGAGCGGTCCGTCAGAGGAAGGAGCGAGCGGGCAGCGGCGGCGGCGCGACCACCACCGGGCAACATGAACAAATAAACAAGGCATGGTCGGCAGAAGTAGACCACAGCCAAGTGTAGGAGCGATGGTACGGTTGGCGACAGCTGATCAACCCGAAAAGCTGTCGCTGCGCAAATACGAATTGCGTGCACTTGATTGGGATAACATCCGTCTGCTGGCCAACACAGCAGTATGGCTTCGATCATCACGTACAGGTGGGCATATTGGGGGTGGGTGGAGGTTTCGTCTTGCTTGCATCCATCGATCTGCGAACAAAACGGCCGTCACGTGCATGAGCATCCTCGTCATGCCTACTGTCTCATACCCTCCCCCCCGACACATGGAAGTGATGCACAACACACAAAAACGCAAAACAAAAACTGGACCCCGCACCATAACCTTGCGTACACACATACACACACACCTGCCGTACACATTTCGCCCCATGCAACGATTCAATTACAGCCACGAGACATTTCAACCGAGACAAAACAAAATATAAATAAAAACGGACCAACATGCAAAAAAAAAAGCGCGATGCGGTGCGCCTTAGGCAGAGAGAACGGAGGGAGAGGGAGAACACCAATGTCGTATACGTGCGGTACTTCCACGGAAAACAAAAAAAAATCGGCGCGTGTGCATAGGTGAGGGCGGGGTCTTCTGAAAAAAATCAAGCTTGTGTTGCCCGTACCTCGTGCCCTGCAAGCTGGTAGGCCGGGATACCCGTGCTGTTTGTCACGTCCCAGACGTAACAGTTGTAATCGTCGTAGCCAGCGAACAAGAGCCGACCACTCCGCGAGAAGGCCACGGACGTAATGCCGCACAGGATCTGACAAAGCGAGTGAGCCGAAAAAGACCGACGCCACAACAAAACCAACAATGAAAAACGAGACCCGACAGGCAGATGATGAGCAATAGATTCTTAAGCAACAGGCGAAAATGACCCAAGGATGTACCAAAGGATATAAGACCCCAAGAATGCCCAAAGTCATAAATCATGTCGTGTAGTATATCTTACATGTTGTTGGGTATTGGGAGAACTTAGCTGACGATATCAAGAAAAAAGTGCACAGCGTAGCAAATGCTCTACGAGACGAACAGCCTAAACAGACAGGCAGCCTAGGGGGGGAGGGGAAGCTTGCCGCAGACCAAACAAAGGCCGCTCGGGCATCCACGGTATCAAACTCAGGAGGAACGAGGAGCCCGAATCACACCGTTCCGCTAGAGTAACATGAGAGAACACAAGGCCGACCCATCAGCACGATGCTAGCGCATAGAGAGAGGGAACGAAAGCACACCACACGCCGAAAAACAGCGACAACACCGTCAAACGACGACAACAAACAACGAAGACGGCACCATGACGAAGGCCACAACCACCAACCCCACCCCCACCGCAACAGCTAGAGACGGGAACGACAAACGAGACAAGACGACGCACCTTGTCATTCCCGAAGTAGTTGGCCTCTCCGTAGCACCGCATGTCGAACAACCGGCAGCTAGAGTCATCCGAGCCGGTGCCGAATGCCTGGGGAACCAATCACGGAGGGGGGG